CACCAGTTGCTGTTACACATAATGGGCAAACATTTATACCAGGCCACAAATACAACATAATTGTCTTTGGAATTTAATTCAACAGTTTTATCTTCATAAAGTCTTAAAAAAAAATTAGAATGGTAGAACAGGGATTGTTTCTAACTGTGTTGGAGGCTTAAGGTGCAAAGTTCCCTCATATATATATCTTCATATTAAGAAAAAAATACTTTTTCAAAGAACAATTATTTTTATTTCAGTGTGATTATGTAATTTCAATGGGGAGTATTATGAAATGAAGTGGAGAGAGTCCAGGATCTGGGTTTTAGAATTGGCTTTGCCCTCAACTAGCTACCGGCTACCCTCTTCGGGCCTTGGTCTCCTCATAAGTAAAATGAGGCGGTGGGATAAATAGTCTGTTTTGTCCCTCTGAACTCAGGAATTCTGTGTCTGTACCCCATCTATAGCAGATCCACAGCTGTAGCTCAATGGTTCATGTGCGACTTATCATCATGAAAAGTAGAACCTAATCATTTCTGTGATATTTAGAAGACCATGGGGATAAAATGTCATTTAGTTGTATTTGATTAAAAGAGCTAACCGAAAGGAAGAAATGTTCATTTTCTCATTTCAAATGTAAACTGATCAGCAAATAAAATCATGGTGCTATAGAGTTATATAATACTGTTAATTACAGATCATTATTAATGTTCTGAAAAAGTTCTGTTCATTAGTGAATCAATTTGCAATATTAGGAATACATTGATGTTAAATGACTCCTAAGTTGGACATCTTGTGACTATCATATGTGGTCCTGTGGTAATGAGTCTTATATCTTGAAGAGTATTTCTGAATTCATATTCACAAATGAATGTTGCCATCTTTATCATAGTTACCTTGGGAGGCTGGGCTCTTTTTTCATATCACATCACTAGATACTGTATATACAAAGCACCTACTACTGTGCACTCATGCTACCATATTAAATTGGAGACAAAGTTGAAAAATTGTAGTTATAAATCCTCTCCCTCAAATGCTAGTTTATTTTTTTTTCTTTAAATCACCTTCATTTTGATTCTAAGCCCCAATCTCCCTGTGCTGAGAAGCCATCAATCTCAGTCATCCTCCTGATCCCACACACCATCCAGAGCTGTGCAGAGGCCCTGCATCCTATTGCTTACCTATGCCATACTTAGTTTCCCCTGAGAGGCCTTTTGTTCTAACCTGTGGAGACCATCTAGGACCAAAGGTTCTGCTGCTTCTGTGCCATGAGGGGCAATCTCTGGTAGCACTGGGAACCCCATGATTGAGGGTCCATCCTCCCTCAGTTCATCATCCAGCCACCTGTTCTGAGATCTTATCACCTGTCAGTCATTTCATTGGTCCTGCACCTTCCTGGAATTTGTCCATCTTTTTCCATCTCTCTTCTACTCAATTTCAGAGAAATCTTTCTGTCTTTTCCTTAAAGACACTACCTACCCAGGATAACTAGCATTCTGTCTTTCTGAGCTTTTTTTTTTTACTAAAAGATAGAAAAGTGGTTGTCTTCAAAAGATAGGAAAGAGAAAGTTTTTTCTTTCTGCCATGTAAAAATCCTCAAGGCATGTACATTCTAAATCTCTAAATACCTAGGCACCTGCTTGAAAGAGGAGAAGGGGAAGAAAGAGAGAGAGAGGGAAAGAGAGAAGCACATATATCTCAGGAATTACCCTGTTGCACAAAGATAAAGAAAGACATGGTTTTCAAGAGCCTAAATTCAAGTGGGAATGAGTGATCTATAAAAAAACTAAACTTTTCTCACATAATTTTTGTAAAGCCATCCCTGCCATGATTCCTTCTTATGACATCCACTTTTTTTCTTACTGCTTTCTTTCGCTTCCTCCCTCCCTTCTCTCTTTCTTTGTTTCAGAAAGAGCACAGAATTTAGAGTTGGTGAGGCTTGGTTTAGAGTTCTCTTTCCCTCACTTACTAGTAATATGATCTTAATTAAATCACATTATCTCTCTGCACCTGAGTTTTCTTTTTGTAGAAATGGGGATAATGCCACTTGTCCATACTCCCTTACAGGGCTTTTGTTAGATCAAGTAGGAAAACATTAATGCTCAGTAAACCGTGAAGCAGTGTGCAAATATAGGCTTTATCGATTTAATGTAGAGGCAGAGTGGTATGTGAAGGAACACAGGGTTTAGAGCCAGATATACCTGTTTTCAATTCCTGCATTTGCCACTTACTAGCTTAGTGTGATCTTATATGTATAGGTTAAAAAAAAATTGTATCAGGTAATTTTAAAGAAAGAGGTCCATATATGTTTGGAGCATAAGATATATGTTTGAATATATGTATGAACGAGACCCGTGGAAGGATTATTTTGAAACGTTCAGATTTATTTGTTCTTGTGCTTTTGTTAAGCAAAAGTATTGTCCAGACTCCTTATTTTATTATCAACTTGTACAAATTAAAAAATACGGTCTTAGGCCACCCCGTGGCGCAAAGGTTAAGTGAACGCTCCCTGCTGCCGCAGCCTGGGGTTCGCATGTTCGGATCCCGGGTGCGGACCAATGCACTGCTTGTCAAGCCATGCTGTGGCGGCATCCCATATCAAGTAGAGGAAGACGGGCACAGATGTTAGTTCACGGCCAATCTTCCTCAGCAAAAAAAAGAGCAGGATTGGCATTGATGTTAGCTCAGGGCTGATCTTCCTCACACACACAATGTATATATATATATATGGTCTTATGTCAATTTAATGACCCAGGAGAAGGGAAAACCTAGTTGGCTCTCTTTTCAGTTGTGATGCTGGGTGACTCATGAGGCCCAGATGTCAGTATTATATTTGATGAGAAATGTATATTAGAATTTTAAAAATGAAAGCTGATGGCTCCAATCACTTATTAACCCGGGACATATGATGAATTTCGCTTCTAATTTCATAAATCCCATTTGTCTCCCACTTTTTGCTTTGTGTTACACTTGACTGGTAATAATAGATCATTTTTTTTCATATGGAAACTTCCTTGATTGTCAGTACATTTCCAAGGGCGTAATCATGATATATTAAAAAATAATCATGTAAATTATAATCATCATCTCACATTTTCCAGAATATTTTTAATGATGAGGATTTTTCTTTTTGAATATTGATTGGGACTTCCGTGGCTTAGGATAAGGTAATCATATGCAAATTATTTTGATATACTCTTAGTTTAAATCCAGGGTTATAGCAAGACTTGATATTGGGTGTAACAAGAAAGTGGTTTATGGTTTTGCCTGGGAAAAGTTCTTTGTTTAAATTATGCTAAACCTCTATCAATTTTCAAACTGAGGTAAGGTATGGTGGAAGATTTTTACCTACTCATTGATGCATAAAATAAGTATACAGGCTGAGGAAGGAAATTGCTCAGTGTTGAGATTTAAGTATTTACTCCTAACAACTATCCAAAGAATAAGAAGACTCTAAGTGTTTGTTTTAAAGTTACTGTTTAAAATGGTGAAAAATAGGTGTAGCCATGCCTTTTGTGCTGACAGAAATAGGTGCAAGGTTAAGTTATACTAGCACATGTACGTTCAAAAGCAGTGCTTGTACATTTTTACAACATTTACATCTCTCTTATGTTTTACATCCCTCCTCTTCTCAGTTTGATCAGAAGATTTCCTCCATATTATTCTTTGAATAGCAGGCCAACTTTTCTGAGGACTTGATCAGAGGACAGGACTCAGCATGGTAGCTGGTAGCAAGAAATCAAAGCATAATTGTGCCCTGTTTCTGGCCACTCTCCCTGAAATAAGTTGTAGCATTCCGGGCAGGGCAATGTTCAAATCCATTATAGGAATTTCCCTTCTTGTTCAATGTACACATGAACTTTTTTTAAAAGTTGTATGTTTAAATATTTTTAATAGTCTGGCTATAATGTGTGTTATTTTTCAGACTTTTCAGTATTATCGGAATAATTGTTTTTATTTTCATACCAGTGAAGCTAATTGAAAGCGCATATTAACTAAGAGCATAACTTTGAGGGGATGTGCTGAGGGTGTCTTGATTTCCAAATCTGCCAGTCAATTAATTTGTTCACACATATGTTTCTTATGGTTCTGGTCTGGTTTCTTGCCCAACTGTGACCTGACTATTTTCTTTATAGTGTGGCCAACTAAAATAGCAAAGAAGTACATTCATGTCCAGTTAACTTTATTGTGTATCTAGAATGATCCAAGCATTTAAAGATTTGCACTGCTGTACATTGTATCCTGTTGTCCTGGCAAAATTATTACTGGCAAATCTTTCACTCTCAAAAGTGTCTTGGTTTAGATGAGAAATTATATCTCACCTTACCAATTAGGTAGATATTGGTCTAGACCTTATTTTTCTTTTTAAACTCTGGAGAAATCTAAAGACACTGGAATTTTAAGTGACTTTCCCAAAGATAAATAGCTACTTAGTGGCAAAACTAGAATTTACCACAGGTGTTTTGACTTAATCCTTGGGCTTTTTCCAGGTCAGATTTGTTAATTTGTCAGTTTTCCAAGTTAGATTTTTAAAGATTTATCTTGTGATTATTTATTGCCAGATATATTCCCTCTCTCTTTCTCTCTCTCTCTCTCTCTCTGTATTCTTGACTATCTTTATGTTTAATATAAAGCATTTAGAGAAATTGAGAAAAATGAGCCACACTAATTGTAAGCTATCTCCAAATGATGAGAAATTGTTGGAAATATCATTACCAGCCAGGTGCTGGAAAGCATTGAAAAGCTAGCAACACAATGCTGCGGCCAGTTTGACCTCATGGAGAGAAATGTGAATTTGTCTTGACCTGGCCAGGCTGTGCCAGAGATTATCATTTTACTGATGCTCTGACCACTTCTTTTGCACTGATCAGTCATAACTGATCCAGATCTCATTTGTAACAAATTGAATTCTAGGCAAAACAATTATAATTGTTTTTCTATTTTGCTGTCAGCTCTGAAAATCATTATGTGCTTCTAGAAGTTTTTGTTCATACTAAATGGTAATTTTCTGTGTTGGCTAGATTTTTCTAGATATGACGTTTGGGTCAGGAGGACACACAAGAGCCATTCTACAGAAGGAGTCAAATATTACTTTGTATGCTTTAGACAGAGACCCAACAGCTTATGCACTAGCTGAACAGCTTGCAGAATTGTATCCGTAAGTAATATTCTTGTGTAATTATTTAATTTTGGTGCTGAGTTTTACAGAGCTTTGTTTACCATCTTGGAATTTGTTCTCCCTTGAATGATGTTATACTTCACTCCACAATGTATTTTGTGGAGTGGAATTAATGTAAATGATGTTTTAGTATCACTTAAAATAATGATATTACTGCATTTATCCTTTTTGAATTCATAAGAATGAATACAAAAATGACTTTTGGCTAAAATTTGAGGATATGTTGAAATCTATCCACGAATAATATTTTGACAAATAACCCATAGTTTAAAAAATGATTTTTAAGGAATTTTATAAATTACAATTTCCAAGAATTTAGTGAAAAGTATGTGAGAATTCTGCAGAATTCGTGAGGTCACATACATCAATATAATGCAATTGTTTTCTCTGAATTCTTTTTGAAATTCACAAGTAAATTTAGAGCAATCTATCCCTCTGTCAGAATTAGTGAGCTTTCACTGTAGAACTTTTTTTTTTTTTAAAAGTTTCAGCAAAGCAGATTTCTTTCTTCCTTCCTTCCTTCCTTCCTTCCTTCCTTCCTTCCTTCCTTCCTTCCTTCCTTCCTTCCATCAGCCCTGAGCTATCATCCATGCTAATCCTCCTCTTTTTGCTGAGGAAGACCGGCTCTGAGCTAACATCTATTGCCAATCCTCCTCCTTCTTTTTTCCCCCAAAGCCCCAGTAGATAGTTGTGTGTCATAGTTGCACATCCTTCTAGTTGCTGTATGTGGGACGCGGCCTCAGCATGGCCGGACAAGTGGTGCGTCGGTGCGCTCCCGGATCCGAACCCCGGGCCGCCAGTAGCGGAGCACATGCACTTAACTCCTAAGCCACAGGGCAGCCCCACTGTAGAACTTTTTAAAGATATAAAGTATTGTCTTCACGAGTGGTGAAATCATCTTCCTTTAGAGAAAAATTTTGAATTAGTGAGTTACGTTCGTATGCTATGTTGTTTAAAAGCCATCAGCCTGAAAAAGAAAAGTATCTTGGAGCTAAGATGACTGTCAGCAAATATGTAAAGGGCTATTTTCAGGAATGGGGAATTGTTCTATTCTCTCATGTTGCAGAGACTGAAATCAAGAAAATAGATGAGAATCTCAGAGGTACATTTGGACTTGCTGTAAACTCGAGTTTCACTAGTTGTAGCTGTCCAACAATGAGAAGGTCTCTGTGGTGAGGTAGCAAAAGTGCTTCCCTGGGGAAGTGTCATCACAGACCAAGGGTAGAAGTTAGATGACTGATCTAGCATAGTCTTCTTCAGCCTCTCTTGGGGCCGAGACTCTGCAAATCCATCAGTGTGATTAATTCTCCTAATAAAAATGTAAATAAATATACCTAGATTTCTGTTTGCAAGCTCACAGGGTTTATGGAGTCCTGGAAATCCATTTGACCCTAGGTTATTTTCTTCTAAGAAAAATATGAGGATGTGGTTTAATGACATGGTACTAACTTTTTGTTTTTTTACAACTTTCTCTGTCATTCTGCAATGTAACTTAGGAATATTAGTAATATAGAGGATAGGAAAAGGATTGATATTGTAGGGAAGGAAAAATATGTTTTTCCTCTACCATTCTAAGTTTTCAGCTGGGACTCCTGCAACAAAAGACAGATTAACAAGACGAAAGCATAAAAATTTATTTAATATAAGTTTTACGTGACACAAGAGCCTCCTTAAGGAAATGAAGTCCCGAAGATATGGTTAAACCTGAGAATTTTTATATTAGGTTTGATGAAGAGTGGAAAGTTATGGAAAAACAAGATAGGACAAAAGGTATGAGGTAAGTGTAGTAAACTGGGAGAAACTTAGCCAAGCCCATTCCTTCCCATTCCCCTTGTCCCTTCATCTTCAGAGATAAGGAGGCTTCTTTCCTCCAGGTATAGGGAATGCCTCTCTCACATGAGGGTCTTGTGGCCTGCTTCAGGGGAAGGTCAGAAAGTTCTTCCTGCATGTGCTCTTTCTCAAATTCCTTCAGTTTAAAATATTCAGTATGTCAAGGTGCCTTATTCTGAGGTAGCATGTCCTGAACCCCATCAATATTTATCATATAGGAAGAGTTCTTTCAAAATTGATAAGACAACAAAATCCAATTTGAAAAATGGGCAAAGGATATAGAAGGGTCATTCATAGAAGATTAAGGTATGAAAAGATGCTCCACATCAGTAGCAGTGATGAAGGAAATGAAATTAAACTAATAATGGTATAATACTTAACACTTATTAGTGTTATAAAAACACTTATTAGACTGGAAAGACATAACAGTTTTGAAAGTGAAGATACAGGGAAAAGAATACTCATCCATTTTTCATGGACATCTTTTAATATTAAAAAATATACATAACCTGCTTAGAATTTATCCCATCTAAAGAAAAGAGTCAATATCTAAGGAAACATATCCTTAGGCTTGTATATTACAGACTTTGTGTAGGCATTGTCTGTATATATGATCATGGAGAATTTGAGAAAGAAGGAATTAGTGGTGGGGGGACGTGTGGAGGAAGGGAAAATAATGGTTGAAAAAAATAAACCCAGAGATTGTAGGATCACATCTCTGCCTATGCATGTAAAGTAGAAAATGCCAAGCAATACTATCTATTATTTATGAATACCTACATATGTAGTTATAATATAAAAATATACATGAGAAAGAAAAACACAAATTTGGGCTAGGGATTATTTCTGAGGATAATGGACAGATGGATGGATGGGGTTGTTTGGAAGGATGGACAGATTAGGTAGATTGATTATCTTCTTAAAAATACATGTGTAATTACACTTGTAAAGTGCAAAATAAAGGAAACATTTTGCCATTTCAATGTGAACATCTTTTGAGGAAATATACTAATTTCTTTCATTTATTTATTTATTTTGCTGTTGTCAAAGAGGAGCTTAATGCTTCTCCTGAAAAATCCCATGTTCTTTACTCTGTCAAAACTAAGTCAAAAATAGAAAGTAACATTTTCACAGAGAACTAAGCAATTCATAGATAGGCTGAATTTTAGGCTAACCCGTTTTAGCTCTTACAGAAAAGATGACATGTCAAATCACCTGTTGTTTGAAAACAGACTTTCCCCCATTGCCTCTGAAGACTGTACAAGAAGAAACGCATTTAAATTGGAGCAGTGGGGTGTTGGCTGACTTTTACCAGAGTCGAAGATGGATGTGGGAAGACAATTTTTTGAAACAATTTTTTTTCTGAATTTAGGAATAATATGTGCTCCGTATACTGAGTTTAGAGAATATAGACATGTAAAAAGAAAAAAATAAAAATCATAATTGATTTCATCATTTGATTGTAATTTTAAGAAGATTATAAAAACGTAATAAGCTGTTCTTTTCACAGTTTATAAAAGTAGAAATGCTCATTAGGGTAAATTTATAATATATAGAAAACTATAAAGAAAAAAATTAAACATTTAAAATTCTACCACCTTGGTCAGTAGTAATGCTTTCGTGTTTTTCATTCCATCTTTTTAATTGTCACTATTTCATTATATTGTGTGTGCTGTTTCTTGCTTGAACTTTCTTTGGTATTGTTGCTTTTTATCCTTTTATGTTAGGATAAAATGTTAGAATACTTTGGCCAAGTTTAAAAAACCATTTTGATCAACTGTTAAATACATAATTAATTTAGAAAGAATTGACATCTTTATTATTCTGCATCCCAATCCAGAAACATGATGCATCTTTCTATTTATCCCAGTATTTTGTTTCTCATTAATATTTTTTCATAATTAAAACAATAAAATATAGAAAAGTACTGAGGAGAAAATTAAAATAATTCATAATCCCACCACCAATATTAACAGTTTGGTATATTTCCTTCTAATCATTTTGGTTATATATGTATATGCATTCATGTATGCATACATGTATATTTTACAAAATTTTATTCTACTTATATATTATCAGCACATTCATATTTCATTAAATTATCTTAAAGAATAATTTTACTGGTTGTAGAGTATTTTCTTCATGTAAATATAACAATTTGCCAGAATTCTCATTCTAATATAGTCTTATCCATGTGCATATTACTGCTATTTTAAATTTTTCTATGCTATATTATTTTAGATATACTTCCTATAAACTACAAATAGCAGATGTACTTTGTGTAAACAAATCTGAGTATGTTTTCTATAAAGGGCTAATTAAATCAGGATATGCTTGCTCTTTTTATGTCATCTTGTTTTATATTTTTTATGTTGTATTGAAATTTTCTTTGGCTTTTAAAATTTCTTTTGTTAATATATATGTTAATATACATATTTGGTTTTGCCTTTTTTTAGTGATTTTCATGACATACCTTTTATTTTTAAATTTACTATTGGCTGATCTTAGTATGTTTTAAGTTAAAAGTATTTAAACATTTTTTATTGTTAAGTATGCAAAATAAGATAATATTTATTGATTAATCATCCCCGTAAGGTGAGAAATTAATGCTTTCATTTTTATTTTCCTTTCCTTTCCCACCCCACTTCTTGGCTTTTAAAATATTATCTTGGACTATTGACAATAATATCTACTATTATGATAATTATTAATTAGCATTTGCATTGTTTGGCAGTCCTATCTAAAATAATTTAGACTTAAATCCATTTAATTCATTTCAATGCACCCCACTAGCCTTCTTATAATACTACAAGTTCCACTTTGAGTTCTTCATGTCAGCTCGTGTCTCAGTCAATTGATTACATCTTTAAGTAGTTTTTTAATAAATATGTGAAAGGGAAGCATCTCTCCCTTTGTCTACCTGAGACTGTTACTCGTGCTTTTTTACATAGGCAACAGCTAGATTTAGTATAGCATTTGGGGAATTTTATAGATATTGCTCTTTTTCCTCTGACATGTAGTGTTGTGGAGAAGTCTGAGGTCAACCCAGTTTGTCTTCTCTTTTCCCATGTGATCTGTTTCTCACTCCTTCCTCCCATCACCAGGCTGGATGCATACTAGATGTATTTCTTTGAACATTTTTCATATCA